ATCTCAAAAACACACACACACACACATACACAAAAAAAATCCCACAAATTATTTTGTTCGTTAAATGTGCAATATTCACTACTTCTTCATTGTTGAGCATTCTACATGCTTGTACGAAGGGTGAATTTTTATATAATGATGAGAAACAGGAAGAAATGAGAATTGGTTAAGTAAAACTCTACAAATAAACTAGATTCAACTTTAATTTCCATGCGGTGGATGTGTCTCGTTTTTGGCAAGTTGGTTGGCAGGTCTTTTCATCCAGAAATCATACTAAGAAAAGTGTGAAATTAGAAAGGTTGTAACGGGTAGAATCTATATTCTGTGGCATTTCACCATAATGGACGAGGCCTCTATTTTCAAAGAGAATTTAAAACTTGAGGGTTTAAGAATTGGCATAGACAAGAGGCCACCTGGTGATCCCAGAGAGCTCAGGAGAGCCCTGAGGGTCTGTAATGAGGTTGTGACCTTGATAGCAGGAAGGACATGAAGCTGCACAAAGGTTCCCACCACCCCAGTTCCTGGGTGGGGGTGTGGGTGACTCTGGGAGGGCCGAGCTGCCAGGAGAGGGCAGTGTAACCTGAGCTTGGTCACGTCCTCTGAAATCACTTCAGCCTTGCAATGCCAGGGAGTCTTCCTTAGCGCTCATTTTCATTAACAGTTGTAAGACACATCTTGAATGGGCCAAAGTATGGTGGAAGGGTCTGCAGATTTGATTTGGGATTAACATCAGTTTGGGATTTCTCCTGGACAGGGCCCTGTGTGTGTGGTGTGTCTCCCCAACCCTTGTACGCTTGTCAGGGTTTGGCTTCCCTTTCCCGATAGAACCACAGGGTTATGGGTTGGAAAGTGGCTTAGAGGCAAGTTGTCCCACCTCCTTCTAGTGTAGCAATCAGTTACCCGTCTCTAGACCAGTGGGCTTTTCCTGGGACAGGCCCAAAGGAATGCAGCTGGAAGTGGTCCATATCACCATGGGGCAACTCTGAGAATTGGAAAAGGTCATCTAAGGATGAAGGAGCCATCCTTTTGGAGCCATCTTCCTCCAAAAACGCTCCTCTTCTGAAGATGGCCCTCTTCCCTCAGTCTTCCGTTGCTGGCCTAAACCCTCTTAGGAAACAGACTGGCATTCCTGGTCTATTGGTCAGAGTGACCAATATGGCCTCTTGCCTGGACACCGTATCTTAATATAGCCTGGATTTGTGGCTTAGAGCAGATTTACCTTGGAATCTCTCAGCCTTCCCTGGTTGACCTGCTCCCTGCCACATCCTCCTTAATCTTTCTTAAGGTCCATCCCTCTACCTTCGTTATCTTCCCTTCCCCCTTCTCTGCTCCCCACCCCATCTTCCTCCTCCCCCACCCAAGGTCACAGCAGCCTCTGGTGGAGGCATGGAGGTGAGTGTCTCCACAGGGCCTCTCCTGTGCAATCTTCAGCCCTGGGGACCCTTTGAGGTCACTGGCACACAGGACTTGGGGACATACTGGAAGACTAAGGTCTGGGGGCCCAAACCCTGGAAAATCCAGAGTCTCAACCACCTCAAGTAATTTTATATCCTTGTATTGGTGGATCATGTTTTTTTCCCTTTAGTTCATATAATATGATGAGAAGGAAGGAACCCAGGAGAGGAGGAAAGACGTGTGAGAGAAAACCTGACAAGGAGAAGCAACCTGTGGGTGTGGAAGGAGCTGGGACCAGAGCTGTCTTGTCACTAAGTGTGTGATGCTGGCCAGCTCACTTGCCTCCCTTGGAGTTTTCCCTCATTTTGAAACAAGGATAATCTGTTTTTTTGGTGAGAACTACCTGAGATCATGGAGGTGAAGGAGCTCTGAGGATCACAAGGGGCCCCAGAGACTTGAGGGGCTGTTATTGTGGAGGGGATGGGGCTGGACCTAAGTGGCCAGGGCTGGAGGTGAGACAAAGCCCAGGACCCCTAACTCTTGGTCTCCAAGGTCCCTCTGGCCTGAAGGCTCTGCGACTGGTGGGGCCTGAGCGCTCACCCTGACCCCGGCTCTCTCGTCCAGTCTGGTGAGGGGGACGTGTGTGAAAACTCAGTCCCACTGAGTGCCATTTCCATCCCAAGGCAGGGCCTACCTTCATTGTAGATGGTCTCTTGGACGGTGTCTTCTCATGTAGCTGCATCCTGATTTAAAATTTAGATTACTAGCTCCTTGAGGGCAAGGAAAGTGTGTGGCTCTTGGTGGGTCTGGGTGGGCACCTGGGCAACCGTCGCCTCTTCTGCCTGCTGCCCATCTCCAGGAGCAGTCTGCGGGCGGCTGAGAGTGAGGGCACCCTGCGGTTGTTAGAAGCCCTTCTTGGAACAATTGAGCTCACGTTCACAGAGCGCTGTGCGAGGAAGGGAGGGCTCTAGCTCTGCGCCCTGCGCCACACTGGGAAGTCCTGTCTTGGAAACACTAAGCCTCCTTGGGTCACTTCTTTCCATGACTCCGTGGCCCAAGGACGCTGTGCTGACAGAGCCTGTTGCCCATGGCTCTGGTCCTTGCTTGCTACCGACAGAGTCTGAGTGCTCCGAGAGGGTCAGACTGGGGAGGACACGCAGCTCTGCTCCTCTCAGACCCCTCAGTGAGAGTGCCAGGCTCGGAGGCCAGCGTACAGGGTCTGGTGATGGTCAGGTGCAGTCCTCTCACCACTCTCCCTCTCTGCCCCTAGAGTTTTATCTGGAGACCAAGCAGGAGGCTGCCTGTGCACTGTGAGCAAATTGTTAGAGGGAGGTGAGAGGGACCCTCTGCTGTTCCTCCTCAGCGTGCTCCCCACAGCCATCCCTATGGCTGAAGCCATCCATCAGAGGCGAATTCCTTTGAGGCATGCCACTGCTTGGGTTCCCAGGAAGCCCTACTTTAAAGTGCGGATACCACAGGAGGGACCACGGGTGGTTAGCTAGCACGCTCACATGTTGGGGGCACCCAGAGGGAGTCTTAAACTTTAGCTTAAGAATCACCTGGCATCAACTGGGCCCTGGTTAGAAACAACAAGCTAAAAAAGACATTTTGAGGACAATTGGGGAAATATGAACGTGGGCTATAAGATATTATTGCATTATTGTTAGTTTTCTCAAATGTGATAATGGTATTGAGGTTGTGGAGGAGAATTCTCTAGTTCTCAGGAGGTACAGCTGAGGTGATTAGAGATGAAGTACTGTGACATGTGCAGTTTACTCTCAAATGGTTCAGCCAAATACACACACACACGCATTAAGCAAATATGGCAAAATGTTAGCAACTGTTGAATGTAGATAGTGGGTCTCTGGGGGATCATCTTACTGTTTCAGCTTTGTGTGTGTGCGTGTTTGAAAATGATCATAATACAAAGTTTGGGGCAAAATCACTTGGAGAATTTGTTTAAAATTCCAGCCCCCACCCTCAGAGCCAGTGATTCAGGTGGTCCAGGTGGTGCTCAGAATGGGGACTTGAGCAAGCTCTCCAGGTGTTCCTGATGCAGGTGACCCTTGGAACCCACTGAGGAAATGCTGCTCTGGGAGCCCAGGGTCCCAAGGTGAAAACCCCAGCCCCAGAGCATCATGGTCTGGAGCAGGTGCAGCGGTCAGATGGGTGAAAGTAGCCATGCTAAGAGTACAGGGAGCCAGTGCCGTGCTTGGCCCCTTGGGCACCTGACTCCCTTCCGCTACTCTCTGCCCTCCTGGGGGCAGCACTCTCCGCCACGTAGGAGCCTCCTACTGCTGCAGCCTCAGCTCTGGCCACACGCCGCCTCTAGGCCCATGCTCCAGCAACTTGCACCTGTTTAAATATCATGCTGTGTCCCACCTCCTGACCTTTGTTCAGACAGTCCCTTCTGCTTCGAGTGACCTTTTTTCTTCCTCCTAATCTCCATTCTCCCCCATTTGCATGGCCAACATGTACCATCTCCATGTTCCCTCCTCCAGGAAGCCTTCTCAAGACTGAGTCAGTCACCCCTTTTCATGTGCTCCCATGGCACCTCCAGCATACTGTTGCCCTTATGTGATTTTCCACTAACTGGTCTCTGTCACTCACTAGCATGAGAACTCCTGGAGAGTCTTACTGTGGAGTGATCAAGGCTGATCCCAAATGCTTCTGGCTTTCCTCCTTCCAGGTACAATGTAGGGTTGCACTGCCCAGCCCCTTGAGGGTGAGTGGGGCATGTGGCTAGTTCTGGCCAATGAACAATGATCACAAGTGGGAGACCCTCTAGCGCTTCCTTTTTATCTCTTGTCCAGCAACGCTCTACATTAGAGCTGGTGGATCCCTGGGAGCCTGGGTCCCTGAGTAAGTGCAATGAACAAAAAACTCCCTAGCAATCTGTAATGGGCATGTAGCTTTGGTGAGAGTAAACCCTAATTGTTTTTAGCCACTGTGATTTTGGGGTTGGTTTGTTACTGCAGCACACCCTAGCACCGGCGGATGGATACACATGCCTTATTCATTTCTGTATCCCCCAAACCTGGCCCAATTCGTAGCTCAAAACAGATACATACGAGATAATTCCTATCACTGTTTTTCTTGGCTGCAAAACTGGTCTCAAAGACTAGGCAGACGTTCCCAGACATGCCACCCCCCGTCCTTCACTTCTTCCCTGGTGATACAGGACTCTGTGTGGAGGTTTCCCAAAGTATCCCCATACACGGAGGTACAAATGCCAGCTCCTCAGACCTTTTCACAGCTCAGACAGGCTCCTGGATGGATCCCAAGTTAACCATGAGCCATCACCCACTTGCCCTGGTGAATGCTCTGGAGAGGAGGGGAAGCTTATAACCCACTGCCCCACTTATTAACTTGTGAAGATCCCCTAACCTTCAGGCCAGCTCCCCAAGAAAGCATCAGAGAGGACTCTGTGCTCACTCTAGGTTACCACTCCAATGTTTGGAAAAGTTCTGAAGGAAAGAAAGTTTGTCTTCGTGGCCTCTTCAGTCCCCAGTCCCTGTGGCCCTTTCTTCTTGCCACCTGGCCCAGGTCCCAAGCACACCTCCTCCCCCTCTCCCTGACCCCAAGGACTGCAGGAACTAAAATGATTAACAGATGCACACTGAAGTGTGATTATGGAAGGCAGCATCCCGCACAGTCAGCCCACCGGGATTCGGGCCACGCGGTGACACTCCAGGTGTGTTTGGACCCTGCACGTCCTGGGAGGATGCAGGTCATAGAGTCAGAGCCGTAGCTGCTGTATCCACCGGGACCCTGCAGCCCACACTTCCCCCCAGGCCTCCCAGCTTTCAGCCCTTGAGGAAAGTGGATTCCAGAAGCTTTGAGATGCTGTGTCTCTCATTTCCTTTTCCCAGGGGTTCCACCTCAGAGCAGTGCAGAGCAGCTGATGGGGTAAGAGGTGGGCAAAGATGTTGCAATCACAGAGGAGGCCCTGGGGGGCAGGACACCAGCCTTCTCTTCGCTGCCAATTTGATGGTCCTTGGACCACAGGTTTGCACAGCCCCAGCCGCCAAAGCCGCAGCCCCAGCCTCGCTCTCTGGAACCCTTGTTCTCAGAGATGCAGGTATGGGTGCACACTTGTCCAAGAATTTTGCATGTCCCAAGGTTGCTCGCAAGGAGGAGCTTGTAATGCCCTTCACATCCATAGACAGCTTTATACCCCTCAACCCTTCATGTCCACTATTTCCTCAGGTCTCGACAGTCCTACCAGCCAGGAGGGAAAAATATTATTGTCCATGTTCAACAGTGGGTGAACTGAGACCAAGAGAGGGGAAGAAAGTTCCCCGGTCCACACGGCAAGTCAGTGACAGAGCCAGGATGGAGCCTGGGCCCTGCAATCCCATGACCAGTGTCCTGCCTGCTTTACTATGGTGTTCTAGATAAGAAAGGGTGAGAGGAGCTTTTCTGCAAGTTTCGCTCTGAAGCTCACACTGCGCGTGCGCGCGCACACACACATTCTTTCAAAATGCAGGCCCCAGTGACATAAATATCACGGGAGTTCTGAAAGAGATGTCCATGTAGGAGACCACTGAGCCTCTGTGAGTGGAGGCCTTAGCCCCTTGGGGGGCCACTTGGCTGGGGGCTGCCAAGGTGCCTGGGAGTCAGAAAGGGCCGTCCCAGCCAAGCCTCACGTTGGGCTTCGCTCCTTATGGTGCAGAAGTGGATGCCGATGGCTGAGGGCCTCCTCATGGTGAACACACAGCTGCCCGTGGCCCCTGGGGGCTCCTCTGGTTCAAGTTTTCATAATTGGACTCGTGAGCCTGGAGCCTGTGGACAGGAGAAAGTTGGCTTACCACCCAGTACAGGAGAGTGGTCCCCGACTACCCAAACCACAGCCCAGCAACGGGCAGGAAGGAGAGATGAGATGGGCACTGGGGGCCTACATCCAACGGGGCCTCAAGACTAACTGAAGGTTGGAGGCAGAGCAGCCGCAAAACTTGTGGAACAGGGAGGGGGCGACTGCGGGTGACAGCATCTCAGACCACAGAGTCTCTATCGTCTTGAAGGGATCTCGTCTGTAGCTCCAAAAACCACCTCTGTGTTCCTGATCTCCAGACCCGTATCCCCAGGCCTGGCCTCCCGAGCTCCAACTGCTTTCCTGACTTCTGGGACGTCTTAACAGGCATCTCAAACCTAAATGTCCATAGTGCTCACCTGATCCTCACCGCCACCCCCTCATCTCTCCTTGTCTTCATCTTAGTGACACCCGGGGTTCCAGCTCCAAATGGGCATCCTGGCTCCTTCCCTTGCTCATGCTGCCCACTTGGTCCTCTGGCCAGCCTGCCTTCTGTCTGCCCCCATCTCCCTGCCTCCACCACTGCTGCCTTCATCAGAGCAGCCAGGCCAGCCTCAGCTGTGGTCAGCAGCCCCTCACAAGTCTGGCCCCATTCTTGTTCAGATGGGGCCATTTGTCTGCTTACAACGATTCAGTGACTTCCCATTGCACTCAGAATAAACCCCACAGACTGCCTGCCCTCCTGCCTCCTTCCTGGGTGTCTCCTGAGCCTTTCGACTTGTCCTTTCCTCCTGGATTGCCCCCGTCATCCCTGCTTGCTCCTTGGGGCTCTGGCCTCAGCTGTCCTCAATGTCGTGTCCTCCGAGAGGACGTCCTGATCTAAAGTAGCCACAGCCCCGTGGCCGCCTACCCCACCCCCCCCGGGGCTGTACTTCATCGCTTTGTCCACGTCTTTCATAGTTCTTACTTTAGAGTCCAGGACGACCTTGTTTACGTGTTTATTAAAATTCTGCACGTTAAAGTGTGAGTTCTCTGAGAGTGGGGATCATTTACTTCATCTTTAGCATCCCAAACAGTGCCTGGTACACAGTAGGTACTCAGTAAATATTTGAACCCCAGTCAGCTTTCTGATTTAGGCACCTTCGTGTGGTCGTAAATCAGCAAAGAAAAGGGACATTGCACACGATTTCGAGAAGATGGGGGACAGTTGAGCAGGCAGCTGGAGAGAGGGGTCTGGGCTGCCAACGTGGCTTTTCCAGCCCTCGGGGCACAGGTTGGAGTGGAGTTATAGGACTGCCCCGGCATGTCCAGTGGGCCCTGAAAAACTGTGTTCCCCCACCCCCACCCAGCATCCCGGTCAGACCACCCCGGGACTCTGCATTGGAGCCTTTCTTCTTCAACGTGGGCCTTCATTTGGGCAGACACCCAGAGGAGGGGAGCATGGACAGGAGGGCCAACACCTCTTAGCCGGGTCCCTGGCCACCCCCCACCCCCCCCACCCCGCCAAGCACTCAGAACCTTTTCTGACATTTTGTTGGGAAAGGCTTCAGCAGAGTGTCTGGGACAATGAGTGCCCTGAGGTGGCTTTTTTGTGGGTCTGCCTGTTCTGGAATGCTGAGCACTACACAAGGAAACACAGCCTCGAGGAATCACATATAGTTGTGGAGATAAGACAGACAGATGACTCTTTGGCACTGGACACCAGGCAGGTCTGGGAGAGATGCCAGTGTGAGGCCCGCAGTAAATGCTGGGAGTGGGTGGGGTGGGGGCAAAGGGGCCGGTCAGCGTGGCCTGGTCTGGCCTGGGCTTGGTGGGCTGAAGGTGGGGGGCTTTGGAAGGCTGCTGAGAGGGCCTAGACCCTGGTCAAGGCTGGCACCCCAGTGCTGGTCCTTTGCCTGTTTTCCCTCCTCATGACACCAGCCTGGAGAAGCCTGCACCTGTTGGCCAGTGGGGACTAGGGTGGGGTGGGGTGGGTGGCGGTGGGGTAGCTCACTTACCGTGGTGGCGTGTCCTGGGTGACTGGGTGCTCTGTGTGAGGGACAGAGAGAGAGGAGGGGGCTGAATCCCTATGGCAGCCTCTGGGCTACAAGCCCTGTTGTCCACCCCACCCCACTGTGGAAAGTGGCCTGAAGGGAACATGCAACAAGCAGCAAGCTAGCAGTGACCTGAAGTGACCTGAAAGATGACCAGGAGTCTGCAAGGAGAAGAGTGGGGTGAGGAGTCATCCAACGGAAAACCCCGCCTTTTTGAGGAAACTGAAGCACAGAATGCTTAGTGACTAAAGAACCAGCAGGAGAGCCAGCGTGGCCACAGCAAAGACGGCAGCCAGGACACCTGTGACACATTTTGGACACATTTCACCCCAGGAGAGTTTGAGGCTGGTGCTACTGACCGGGGTGGTCTGAGCGGCCCTGGGAAGCCTCCTCTCTGGGGCACAGAGCCCATTTCCCATGCAGCTCTGGGAGAGTAGTGTGGGGCCAACTGCAGCTCTCCGAAGACTTCTGCTAGTTCACACTTCCACACTTCTGCACAGGCCATTCCCTCTGCCAGGAATCCCACCAGCTCCTTGTCTTCCTAGCTCATGCCTACTTACTGCTTTTGGTGTAGCTCTCACCTTACTTGCGTAAAGCCTTCTCCCCTCACCCCTGAGCAGACACCCTACCAGATTGTGGCCTACATACTCTGGGCTTCTGCAATGCTGGGTTCCAGGACAGCACTTCTCGCCCCACATCGCAATGTGCTTACTCCTCAGCATCCCATTCAAGGGCAGGGAGCCAGGTCTCACTCCTCTCTGTATTCCTAGCATCTACACAGCACATAGCAGGTCCTGAAGATGCTTGTTGTAACATAATGGAATGGTGCTATTTGGGAAAGTCCAATGGTCAGGGCCCACAGGGAGGAGTACTTTATGGGATGCTGGTAAAGGGGCGGGCTCCAGAGCTGTACTGTTGGACCTCTATCTCTGTGACTCCAGGCTAGGGGCTAGTTCTCTAATCTCTCTGGCCTCAGCTTCCTTTGTGTAAAATGGGCTCTCGCTGGTTCCCACCTCCTGGGCGTGCGGCAGGGAGAGGAAAGCGAGACGATCACAGGCGCAAAAATGATGTTTCGGTTGTGCCATGCCAGGTGGTCAGCCAGAGGGTCTTACCCTAAGAGGAGAGGCCCTGCCTCGCCCCGAGCACCCACCCTAGCCTGGGGCGCACCCACCTAGGCAGCGGCGGGCGGTGGCGCGGGCGGCCAGCAGGCCGAGCAGCAGCAGCGCCTTGAGGCCGAGCACGCCGAGCGGGAGGGCGATCGCCGAGGCCCCGGAGGCGCCGCGGAAACGGAACAAGTAGACGCTGGCCTCGGCGCGGCCCAGGCTGTTGGTGGCTGTGCACGTGTAGCGGCCGTCGTGGTCCAGCGCGGGCAGCTCGGCGGTCACCTGGTGGCTGTGATCCTGACCCGGGCCCGGCACCTTGACCGAACCGTTGCCCAGGGCCGGGCCGGACCAGGCGAGCGCGGGCGGCGGCTCCCCTTCGGCGGTGCAGAGCGCGCGGAAGGCGTGCGCCGGGCCGGGCAGCACCGAGATGTTGACGATCCGTGGGGCGGCTGCGAGCGGCGGCCGAGCGGCGAGACAGAGAGAAAGCCAACTGCGGTCAGAGCGCGCGCGCAGCCGGCAGGGGCGAACCCTTCCCAGTCCCCTTTGGTCGCCAAGACAGGCGAGGGGCGCAGAGAGGAGGGAGTGGGCACTCGGGCGCCAGGCTGCCTGGGTCCCAATACACGTGTGGCCTTGGGTAAGCTATTCCGCCGTTGTATGCCTCAATTTCTCCATGTGTAAAATGGGGATCACTTACCTTTTGGGGCTGTTGAGAAGATTTGGCAAATTAATACGTGTCGGGTGCTTGGACTAGGTCTTGGCCCATAGTAATTACTCACTAACCGGTCGTTATTACTGTGGTAGGACAGGGTTGGGGGCAGGCTGCTGGTGTGATTTCAAGGGCACCTCCCACAATCAGACCACCTCACCAAGATCTAGAGTTGAGACTGATTCACTGAATCCATGGGACTGTGGCAGGGAGGCACCCACCCTGGGAAGAAACGGAAATGCACTCAGAGACGCGGCCCAGCCAGCGCAAGAGCACATGCGAAGTTCTTGGTAGAGCCAGACTCGAACCCAGAACTCCTGGGTACCCCCCAGCAGGGGGTCCTGGATGTTTAGACTCTCCCTACGTAATTCCAGTGCGCAGGGTTGAGCATCACTGTGCTAGGGACCGGGCCCTGGGTTCCCACATCTTAATAGTTCAGGGTCTAGCAAAGTGCTGGGCGCTTGGTGGGGCTCCCCGTGCACCCCCCGGGGAGCTGCGGGTGCCCTTCATGCACCCAGCACACACTCCAATGCAGCGCGTGCCGTAATGAGGATTATTGTTCACGCGTTTTTCTCTCCTCCTAGTCTGCGAACTATTGGGGGATATTCGCTCTATAGGAGCTCCATTACAATGCTCGTTCCCGGGCCCCACCCTGCCCTTCCTAAGGCCACTATTCTGCATGTTTAACAAGTTCCCAGGTGGCCCGTAGCGAGAGGAGCTGGAGGGTAGGGAGCGAGGAAAGGAGCTGCGCCCGCCTCGGCCGCCCCAGCCGGCAGAGGGCGCTCCGGCAGCCGCGCCCCGCTCACCGGTCACGCGGAGCCGGATGCCGTGGCGGCTCTCGTAGCGGTCGTGGATGTCGCCGGCGAACTCCACGCGGCAGAAGTAGCGGCCGTCGTCGGCCAGGGCGAGGCGCTCGATGCGCAGCGAGAGGTCGTTGCGGCGCGGGTTGCCCAGCAGCCGGAAGCGGCCCTGCGGGCTCAGCGCCGTCTGGCAGAGCTCGCTGCCCCGCGCCGCCGCGCACCGGAACACCTGCGGGCCCGCGTAGGGCTCGCGCGCGCGCCAGATGGCCGTGAGCGGCCCGTCGTAGTGGCGGTGCGGGTGCGTGAAGGTGCAGGGCAGCACGGCCGCCTCGCCCAGCGCCGCGCTCACCTCGGCCGGCACCTGCATGGACCAGCGCTGCGTCGGGGCACCTGCGGGCGGGCGGCAGGGCGGGGACGCGTCAGCCCTGCCCGCGCCGAGCCCGAGCCGCGGGCCCCCACCCCCGGGACTCCGGAGGGTCCCCCTGGAGGGCCTGGAAACCCTAGGACTCAGGAAGCACCCCCCTCCTGAGGGCCTGGAAACCCACCCCGTGACTTGAGAGTCGTCTCCCGGGACCTTGACTCCCATGACTTGCCAGATGCCTGGACCCTCCCTCCACTTCCCTGGGACTATGAGCCTCACTCAGACGGTTCTGCTTCACGTACTGACCCAGTGACCCAGTCCTCTTCCCCATCAAAACCCGCCCTGCTGCAGGAAAGCCCTGGGATCCTGTGGTTACAATAGAGTCCCAACCTTCCCCGTCCCACCCCGCCGCCCCCATGGTGATGATAAATCAAAGCACTTACTGTGCACATCTGTGTTGGGCAAGTTCACGGTAGTATCTCTTTTAGTTCTCACCAATGATCCTAGAGGTAAGCATAGTTATCCTGCGGTTACATATAATAAACGGAGGCACAGGGGTTGCACAGCTGGGATGAAGCAGCAAAGCCAGCATTCAAACCCAGGACTGCCGGACTCCACAGCCACCACTCTAGTACACTAAGGGCATGGAACCCTGGGGGACATCCAAGTAGACCAATGCTCCCATTTACAGAGGGAAAACTGAAACCGAAGGATGGTATGTTTTGAAGTGTAAGGGAGGAAGGAAGAACTATTCCTCTACCCTCTAGGTTCCTCTGGCTGGTCTAAGAATTAAATTGATGTGAGACAGAATAACAGGAGAAAAATCTCCAAGAAGTTTAATAACATGTATTCATGGGAGAAACCCAGGAAAACTGAGTAACTCACCAAAATGGCTGAAGCCACCGCCTTAAACACCATTTTCAGCTAAAGACAAAGGAGGATGTTGCAAGTAGTGGTTTGGGACTTCAAAGGGGAGGAAGGCAATTCACATGGAGACAGAAAAGCAAATGTTTGGTAAACAAATGTATGCCATTGCCTTGCAATCACAATGAGACACGGAGAGGACTTTGATCAAATGGGTGCCTCCCTGTATACCACACCTGGTTTATATTATACTATAATTATCTGTGGTATTAGCTCTTTCCTGAAACAGGCCTTCTATCTTAAATTTATTTAGGCGGTTAGGCGGAAAGTCAAAGTTTCTTTCTGAGTCTTTCATTCTTAAAAATAATCAAGTCAAAGAGACACGTTTTGGGGTGGCAAATTCTGATCCCCCGCATTCCTTCCTTTGAAACTTCAAGAAGTTTCACAATCCAGAAGCTGCTGGTAGATTGTTCCATCTCATTGAACCAGTCCCTTAGTCCTGACATAGGTCAGTCCAGTTCAATTCCCTTTAGGAGGCAGTGATGCAGGTGGGTTCTCAAAGTTAGGCCTATGTTGTGTAAGCAAGCAATCACGTATTTAACAAGAAGCATTTCTATGGAAACAAAAAGAAAAACAAGGTTAGTGGTTGGAACTTATTATAAACTAATTTCTGAGCTCAGGGGAGAGCCTGTCAAGAAGGTCTCTAGATGTCAGGGTCAAAGCATCTTTTGCAATGTTTGAAATGTCTCTGATGATGTTGTTGGATGTTCAGGTATCTTTCTGAGTAGCTTATACAGCAACAGGCATGCAAATTGTCTAAACATAGGCTGTTGGTGGCAGTCTCTCATAAGTTTATATCAGGTTGTTAAGCTTCAGTTTGCAGGGCTTCAGGAAAAAGAGTGGTTTAGGCCTCAATGATTCCAGTTGAAAAGGATGGAAAAAATGGAAAACTTTAATTTGGAGATGTATAGCCAAATATTTGAGGAAACTAGAAGAATTCAGCATCCAGTCCAGTTTACAGGTAGAAAACAAAAACCTCAAAGACAATTAACAGAACTGGAATCTACTATCTGCAAGTATGTATTATAGTTTCTATTGATACATAATTTTTCTCCTTATAATCCCCGTCATTTTTACCAAACAGAGCCAAATTAAAACTAATTGGTATGCAAAATAAGTCTAGTTTCAATAAACTTGGCCTTATTTACATAAGTACAACAAGAACAGTGATTGATCATATAAGCTTTTATTCTTTTTTCTTTTTGGTGAGGAAGATTGGCTCTGAGCTAACATCTGTGCCAATATTCCTCTATTTTGTATGTGGGACACTGCCACAGCAAGCCTTGATGAGTGGTGCATAGGTTCATACCCAGGATCCAGACCTGCAAACCCCAGACCACCGAAGTGGAGTGAGTGAAGTTAGCCATAACACTACTGGGCTGTTCCCATACAGGCTTTTAAAAATCTGCTTTGCTGGAAATTTTCATAAAGAATCTCAGATTGAACATTTTTTTTTTGGTAAGGAAGATTGGGCCTGAGCTAACATCTGTTGCCAATCTTCCTCTTTTTGCTGTTTTTTTGCTTGATGAAGATTGTCCCTGAGCTAACATCTGGGCCAATCTTCCTCTATTTTGCATGTGAGATGCCACCACAGCATGGCTTGATGAGCAGTGTGTAGGTCTGTGCCTGGCATCTGAACCTGCAAACCCTGGCTGCCAAAGCAGAGTGTGTGAACTTAACCGCTATGCCACCAGGCTGACCCCTCAGACTAAACTTTTAAAGGCCTCTCCGAGGCCAGGAAAACCAAGCCAAGGACTTGTTATCAGACTCTGTCTGCAATACCTATAGATTTGGGTGGATTCCTTCCTTCTCAAGTTACCACAAATATCCTGAGGTTCTTGCATATGCCAGGAAGTGGCCTTTTTTATTCACCTGGTAAGATTGCTGGGAACTCTGTAAACAAGGTACCAGGCCAATATTTCCAAGGGGCTTTATTTGTTCCATAAAGTCAGCCTTTGTTCCTTATAGCTGTCTAGTCATATCTGAGTCTATGTATGTCTCTCTCAAATATGACATTCCAGCCAAAGCCTGGGTAATATAACTAATGTTTCTAATTGTGTCCTGTTATAAGGAGAAGAGATTCTTATTAAACTTATGCAAATAACTATATAGCCATGAAAATAAAAATACTCACTCATCAAGAGTTTCCAAATTCTGGAGGGATCAAGTAGAGAAAAAAGATAAATGTTTTAGTTCTGCTTATAAAGTTATAATTTACCAAACTGCTATAAGTCATAGTTAGCTTAAGAGAAAAATCTTTCCTTAAATCTGGAAAAACAATACATTAAAAAAATCAGCAATATTTCAAACAAAAAGTCATAAAATTATAATCATCCTCATCAGTTCATTCAGTCCCATGTAATCAATTCGCAATCTTTTATCTTTTGTTAGCAGTTTTATGAAGCCATCAGTTTCTCCATTAGAGTTCTGTGATTTCTTACCAGTTCACTTTTATGATCTGAAAGTTTATCAGAAACCTGTATTCTAGAGTAAGCATCAGAGTTCTTTCAATGAATCTCTCTGAAGAGGAAACATATCTGCAAAAGCATCAGAGTAAAATCATAACTGTCTGTATGTGACAAAAGACTTAAAATGGTGAGGTTAAAGACATGGTGACAGTGCAATTGGTAAGGAAATTTGGTTATTTCTGTAACGCACATTTTAAGATAGTAATTAGGCTGATAACACTATACCAGGACATCAGAAAAAATTTCATACAATTTCTAGAACATTTATATTAATAACATATGCATACAAGGATATCCATAAGGGAGGTTTAGCATCACTTATTTGACAATGCTTCCCATGCATTTTAATATACCAAACAAACCTAGTTAGTTTAATATGCCCCTCTTTATAGGAAGAGAGAACAAATTCTTTGAGAAGGCCCAGGGACCCACTGGAAATTCTAAAAGTTATTTCAGGTTAGAAAAATAAAAGACTTCATTCAGGATTTGAATTTTGGGGAAGCTTCTTAAAGATATCAAAAGGTTTGAAAACACTTGGTCAAATAAGATCATAGGTCACTGTGAGACAATGCTTAGTTATCAATTTAACCATGTGACATCAGAAGGTGTTAAAGGCAAACACAGAGAGAGAAACAGTTTTAAAAGAAACTTCAGGGGCTGGCCCCATGGCCAAGTGGTTAAATTCATGTGCTCTACTTTGGCAGCCCGGGGTTTTGCCAGTTTGGATCCTGGCATGGACCTAGCACCACTCATCATGCCATGCAGAGGCAGCATCCCACATAGCAGAACCAGAAGGACCTACAGCTAGAATGTATGACTATGTATTGGGGGGCTTTGGGGAGAAGAAGAAGAAGGAAAGAAGATTGGCAACAGATGTTAGCTCAGGTGCCAATCTTAAAAAAAACTTTAGCTCTCTTAATAGAGAGACCTCAACTTTCTGAACATAGGAAATTATTTTGACAAAACAGAATTTCTGCCTTTTAGGTAGACTTACTCAAAAATAAAGAAAAACCTTTTATAATCTCTTTATCAAAAGCACACTAAAAGTCCAAGAAAATTAACCTTTTAAGAGAGAGAAAATCAAATTCTTATTTTGCACTACTTTACTTTTGATATTAAAGGTCATTTACCTAATTAAACTCATTTCAATCTTAGCCAACTTGAGTGTGCACAAAACTCTTCTAAGAGTTTCTCTTCCAGAAACTTTTTATGACTTTCTTTTTTACATTCAGAATTTGCCCCATGCCTTTTCTCCTTCTTAGCTTCTCCTTAGGACAAAAATTACTTTTCTCTTTCCCATATCCAGTTTTACTTTAGGACAAATTTATTTTCTTAACAAAACAAACCATCAAAAATATCTCCATTCCTTATGCTTTCTTTACTGAAAACATACATTTTACTTTTCTGGTATCCAAAGATATTTCCCTTATTAATTTTTAGTAGCTTTAATCACATATATTAATTATAATCTTAACCCTTAGAAACCTTAATTTTTAGTGAAAACTAAGAAGTGAGCAATTATGAAGTCTTTTACATTAGATTCTGTGGCTTGACAAATTTACAAATATTTTCATAATTTCTGGAAACATATGCTACTTCATAGTATAATCTTTCAATAAAGCACTAGACAT